GAAGAATATAGCCAAGACAACATAAACATATAAACAGTACATAATACAGTGCTTACACATAATAAATATACATATAACCTACACAAATTGTCACAAATACACAGTATAGTGAAGTGCATTTATATAATGCAAATCATGAAGCAGCTTCTACATCGACAAATCTTTTCCTTATTTGAAATGCTTCATACAAATATTTGGCAGTTTTACAAAACTTATTCTTACTCTTACAGGACATAATGTTTGCAAATTTTTTGCCTACTAGGCCATGAACAATTACCTAAATATTTTTGTTCTTATATTTCAGAATATATAGGGCACCTTAACAAAAAGTGATATTCCGATTCAACTAAATTAGTATTACAAGCTTTACAGATTCGTTTATTTCTATGCATAACCTTGATATCTACCGACCTCAATTTCTAAACTATGAGAGCCTATCATGCATTTTCTAAATTTATATATATTAAATTCATTCCAAATATTTTAAAAACCAAATAATTGTTTAACATGTCACTTTTTAATACATGTACTACTATCTCGATTGAAAATCTGATTGTATTTAAAGCTGGAGGCCTTATAATACGAGCTTGTGTATATATTAACATACCTGGTCTCGAATAATAACATCGTTATTGATCTTGACAAATTAATTTAAAAAAAGTAATTCCTTTGCCTTGATTTAATAAAACCAGTCATTCTGAAACAATTACTGTTATAATTAATATAAAATGGTTTGTTGAGTCCTCCCCTTAGACGTATCAGAAAACTGTTTTAGAATGGCTATCCGTGTTTTTTATTTACATTTTTATAATTTAATGTTATATATTTATATTACATTGTGATGAATCTTTATTATGGGAAATCATTACTTATTATTGAACTCATCATTCCTTAGTTTTAATATGAGCAACAAACATAATTACGCATGAATAGACATGTTTAACAACTCTCAATATAGAATGAGACATATATGTATTACTTTTTTCTCTTTTTTTAAATTGATGTTGTTGTTTTAGGGCGTACAAATACAGTACAGACTATATAGAGCCGACAGGAAAGATCATTATGGCTATCTTCGAGTATAACAAACTTAAAGCATCACCATTTGTCAAAACCATCTATTCTTCTCCTAGTTAAATTCCTAATTTGAACCCATTTAGTCGCCTCAGGATCAAATAGTGGCTACAATAAAGGCAACCCTGCGCCACAAAAGGGGATATATGTATGTAAATACAAAGGTTTAAAAAGTATAATTGTTTTATAAAATAATGAATAATTTAAATCTATAAATTAACAAAAGGCAATGCCTTCTTGTAAAGTTGACTTTAAATAGCACATTATGTATCTCACTATGATAAACAAATATTATTTTAGTTATAGTGTTATGATGTATTTTTACTTGCTTTTTTTAAAAAAAGTGATATGTTTTATTATGTAAGGAACAGTTTGTTAAATTATTAAGATACAGAAATATGTAAAAAATTAAGACTGGTGACATTGTTATTGCGTTTGACAAATTTATTGTAATTTACTTTGCATATAAAACTAAATAATTTTGTAATTAATTTAATTTAAAATATTTAAAGCATACTTCGCTAAATATTTATCTAACTCTATAAAAGAGAAATGAACAGGCCGCTGGCGTTTGATTTTTTAATTGGTTAAATATTGAAAACATGTTTGCTTTGTATAATTGATATGGAATAACTTAATTTTTTATCATATCCGCAGGTAAATATTCAAACCTACGCTAAAATACATTTTGGTCAATAGTTCATATTAATCTATCTGTAAGATCATCAAATTGATAAATTATTACATGTATATGTTTTCAGATATAACGGTTCATGTTTTTTTAAATGTATTGCTAATATCTTCATTACAAAATTCAAAGATTATGTGAAATTATACTAATATTATTTAAGATGAGCGGCGGTCTAATGCTTGATGTGTCCGCCTCCCAACCCAGAGATCCTGAGTGCGAGACCTACACGGTTCACCTCCATGAACCTTCATACAACACAAGAACTGGTTGGTTCCAGGAAGTGGACTCGAAAGTGATTTATATAGACGCCTATAAAATGATTATTTATAGAACATTGCATATCATTGCTGACCACGTGTGAAAGCTGAGCAATTAACTAAGTAGAAATTCATTGGGAGGTAACCTAAGATATCAAGATTATATGAGACTAATGGCTTAATCAGTTGTTTGAATGTAGTGACAAATGTTTGATAATGCTTCAAAATTATCTGTAGTGGACTTAACAATATATTTGGATAAATTACCTACACCTTCGAATAAATCTTATTTTGGAAAAGTGATATATTATTGCCGAAATATTTAAGAAAGTACCGCCGACTGACATAGACAATTATATCAGCATATCATACTTTTTACAATATACATGGCGTTGGTTACATTATAAAGCAATTATATTAGTCCACAGTTACAATAAATGAGATCCTATGTCAGTGTTTGTAAGCAAAGTAGCAATATATAACTTGATTGCTCTAAGTATGAGTCCAAGTCTTATAATATCAATCAGAATTTCCGATTTTTTATTCATTTTTACAATATAATGAAACCAACGTTTCAATTTCTGGAACCAAAGTAGTAATAAATAAGTTGTTATCACATTGTGTGATAGCAATTCTCAATATATGGTACTAATTAGCCATGTACAGAACTTGGAATGATTCTAGCTGTTTTATACAATATTCTAATTGTCTATACACGTGTAATTGTTTGTTTATATAACCCATCAAATTGTTTTAATTAAAGTCACAAACGGTATAAGATATTTGAGCAGATATTGTCTGGTTATTGAAGCTAAAAAAATAATTGAATATTTATGTAAGGAGTGTACAAAACATGGTTAATAATGTGAAAAAAACCCAGGTCATATACATTTTTTAATGCCTTAAGGGAGTTATATAAAGAAATTATTTAACAAATTATAACACGTGTGACTATGCTTTTATATAAACTATTTTTTGTGGTTGGTGTTAACATCGCACAAGCACTGTAAAGATTATCCGGCGATATTACACCTTTACTGCTGGAGGAGGACCTCAGTTGTCCTTTCGTGCATTATTTCTGGCATGAGCCGGTACCTGAGTAAAACCACCGACGTTCTGTTAACTTCCTAGCATGAAAGAATCAAATGTCTCCGGCAGTTTTTGAACCCATACCCATAGCGGTGAGGGGCAAGTGATTTGAAGTCCAGTTCCATTTAAAATTTAGCCTAAGATGCCACTATCAAAATATATATGTCACATTAGTTAAATTAAATATTTCACCTACCCTTATATCAAATACCATTTTTGGATTTTATTTGTTTTTTACATTATATTATTGATTATCTTAACCTGAGTCGATACCTATTTCTTCAATTTGTAGTTAAACGCAGGGACAGTTTTTCTTGTTTATTTCAAATAGTGATAGTAATTCGCAATTCATCTGATCAATAATTGAGAAACACTCTCGAAACCGTTCCAGAAACCAACCATTATTGAGCAATGGTGTAAAGGTTGTTGCCAAAGGAAACAATGGCTTGCTCCTGACAGGGTTTGAACTCAAAACGAAATGGTCCAAGGAAATTTAATTACATATTAAAAAAGAAACAAAATCTTAAATAGAATTAAAATTGGCATTGGAATAGAATTTATAAAACTAATTGCAGGAACGAACGTGGAAAGCTTAAGGTACTATCAACGTTGGTCTGTAAAATAGACATAATTGTTACATAACGTTTACTAATTAAATGACACATTCAGTGTCCGAAAATTGAACCTTTGTAGAATTTGATATGTCGCCAGAATAAATGTAAAAAAAAATAATTAATTCAATTAAAAAACAATTATTTGATATAAGATATTTGGTTTAAGGCATTTTATTCTGCTGAAATGAAGATATAAATAATGCTGTTCGGAGACTCTGTGGCAGTTATTCATTAGTTTATACACACACGTATGGACAAAATGGGTGTTTTTTAAAAGATTATTGTTTCGTCCCCATTTCTGTGTAAGAAATTATTTCATGTTCAGGGGCATTAATTAAAAAACCTTTTCCCCACGAATTTCCCCCTTAGAATTTTCCGTCTATTTAAGTTTCGGAGAAAGAAAAAAAAATTAAACCTTTTAAAGAATAAAAATTAAATTTTTTATTTAAAAAGAAAGCGGGGTAACAAGAGCTTTCATTACTTAAATTAAAACCCAAATCCCAAAAAACAGGAATTTAAGTTTTTAAAAATGAAATTCATATGGTTAGATAAAGATAAATTTTTAATTATAGTGACATGTGTTACAACACACACTATGAACATATTTTGAATAATAGAATAAGTCAACTGCCGGCCCTATTGGCCTATTAGTCAGCTTAAATAATAGACTAAATTAAGCACATGTGATGAAATGCTACGACATATTGCAATTGTTAGCTGCACTTGTTAAGTTTATGATGACAAATATATTTACAATATATAATATATAAATATGTACATAATTAATCACAAAAATGTGGAGTATGAAATTTATGAACATTACTAACTTTGCCTGGTATGAAATGCATTAACAATAAATTTACGAATATTGTCATTTAATATATACTTATAAATGAAATATGGAGAAATATTGATGAAATAAACTGCGTATTTTCATTTTCCGTATTTTCACTGTAAAAATTTATTTTTCACTGCAGTGAAACATATTTTCCGTATTTTCACTGGTGTCTTGCCGGACTACTTTCTTTTAAATTCTGCCAGTACACAAAATTTAAGGGAAAGTCTTTCAAATTTTATCGCAAAAAAGTGAAAAATGTATATAATAAACAGAAAATTCAAGTTTTTTCTATAATTACATGATTTATTTTCATCTTGTGGCATGAAAATTACCATATTTCACTCGTGGCTACCGCCACTCATGAAATATTTATTTTCATACCACTCGATGAAAATAAATCATGTATTTATAGAAAAACTTGAATATCCTCTATTTAATAACACACATATTATTCTTTCATATGATATCTGCAGGGCAAATAAACAGCGTCGGGGCACAAGAGATACGACCCCAAAAGGCTGGCAATTTGAAGGCAGTAGAAAATTGGTTACTGTATATAAAACTCGGCAATGACGAGGTGTGCGCAGGTGTGCAACTTTCTGACGATTGGGTACTTACCCTTGCTGACTGTATTGATAAAAAATTGTAAGACATTATATCATATTTATTTAAATATATTTATTCGATAGATGTACATTATGTATGATGAACAATATTTTCACAATACATTTTGGGATTGGACAGAATGGTATGAAAGCTATGAGTGTCCTTTCCCATATTGAATTACCATATATGTATTACTTGATGATCATTTATCTTTGTCTTATTTATATTTTACCAATGCATCTAACTGTCTGGGAAAGGGGAATTTCATTGGAGGAAAATAAAGCGGCATAATGACGTGGAATTGCAGACTTGGTTTGAATGAGCCTATTCATGAGGGAAAGTGCAATATCCCTCACGCAACCTAGCACCGGCTTAAACGGTATTTAATCGTCCGCACTGCATTTGTTGGAATCAATGATCGTTGTAGGATCAGAAAACAACTCTGAAGTAAAGGTAGATGGTGACTTATACGTTTTTCACACGGCACTTGTTACCTGCTCTACAACGATTGATCACGAATATGAGATAGGATGATTATATGACCTGCCAATATAATCATAAAACAAGCAATATGTGAAAAAAGCTTTAACATCTAATAAAATGAATGGTTATATACTTTAACTACAAGTCATGTGTTTTTCTAAATTTTAGCAAGCTTACAAAATACAGCATTGTTTACAAAGACGGTTCAAGGAAGGTTATTGCCGAAGACCGGGTAAGTGTGATGTTTTAATGTAAGAGACTTTGAAACCATTCGTAAAATGAACATATCACGCACACTGACATTTTTCATTAGTATCTTAAATTGAAAATAATAGATCTGATTCACATATTCTGGGAGTTAATGGCACTAACTGCATTATATGATAGAAACGGAATGCATATACTAGACCATCTGCTATACAGGTATAAGATTGATTTTGAATAGTCTTTCCTTATCCTGTTTTTTCTTTCTTTCCTCGTCCTTTTCTTTTTGTTTGGTAAATATTCACATATGCTATAAAAATGTTATTTCACTTATGGACATTAATTCATCTATTTAAGGACTCCGTTGGAAAGTTATTTATCCTTCTTAAGATTGAAAAGGAAAAAGAACCAACAAAAACAAAGTTCACACAACTTGCTGACTCTATGTTACCCTCTTCAGAGTACAAGTTTCATCTGTACAATCGAGACGATTCTGGTAAATTATAAAAAAAATTATAAATTCGAGAGGATAAGATATACGTATATAGTTTGTTCAATAAAATTGTTAAAAAAAAAACAACTTTTATTCAACAACATTTTGATATCTTAGTTCGTAAATGTATTTAGATAACGCTTGAATTATTTGTCTAGAACTAAAGTAATTAAATAAATGCTGGCTTTCTCATTCAAAGTATACATTTGTTATCAATAATGAAACATAGTGAAAGAAAAAAATATTAATATGCGATTCAGAAAATAAACAACAAACTCCTTGATAAAAGGGTTCAACCCCTCAAAATGTTGTGATTGATTAACGTTTGGAATAGATATTTAGTTATCAACAATGAAGTCTTGAGTAAGTATTTCATAAATTCTTTGTTTTACGATTCTATTCCCGATCACTTTGGTTATAACTGTATCCTTTTGGTTTAATATTACAGATAAAATAATTGCAAATGAAGTCGATTTTGTCAGAGGCACTCAATGTGAGAAGGAAGGAATTGATGGCAATTTTGGCGAGACACATAAATGTGTTCAATGCAACATGAATAAAAAAGCTAGATGTCTAGTATGTTGAAATTGAAATTTACGGAAGCTTATCAGGGCCTACAGTTGATGAGATGTTTTGCGCTACGTCGACTTATTTCTATTCGCATTGATAGGATGCTTTTGCATTTCTCAAAAGACAACTGACAAAGATGAAATGCTTTTAGGCATTGCAACTGAATTTTTCTCGATATGCTTGAAGCTTTTGTCTCTTCAACAAAATATTGTCGAAACTTCGTGATTTCACGACTTTGCTGAAATATTAAGTAAGACGCAAATACGTAACTTGCATTGACAAATAGATCACGTAATTCAACAAAAGTGTTTTGGCTATAATTAAAAACTTCTATGTATTACGTTGAAATCATTACGTCTCTGTGGAATGTTTTATGTATTACGTACGGAAGCTTATCATGGCCTCCACTAATCTAAAAGTTTCACGTCATGTCAACTTGTTTCTTCTCGTTTTGACCAAAACATTTCATGAAGATGTTATGATTAATACGTAATACATAAAACATTCCATGAAGACGTTATGACTAATACTTAATACGTAGAAGTTTTTAATCATTGCAAAAAAACTTTGTTGAATTACGTGAGCAATTTGTCAATGCGAGTAACACCTTTGCGTATTACTAAATAAAACAGCAAAGTTGTCCAATCATGAAGCGCATTTTTTTTACTAGATTTTTGTCAAAGAAACAAAAGCATCAATCATAACGATAAAGGTTCAGTTGCAATGCCTAAAACCTTCTAACCTTGTCAGTAAATTTTATTCAGACTTGCAAAATCATCTCATCAATGCAAACACGAATTATTTCGACTAAGCGCAAAACATCTCATCAAATGTAGGCCCTGATAAGCTTCCTTAATGCACAATACCTTTCCAAAAGATAATTACTTTGGTATTTTTGATTTTATTCTAATCGTATTAAAACAATAATCGTATAAAAAGTAGTGATAAATTAAGGAAGATCCTATTAGAAATTTCGATTGTCTAAAGACATCTATGTACTAATGGCTGTTTCGAAATCTTAAAATATATTCTCTTATCCTGAGAAAAAAATAAGAGATGTTTTTTCAGACTTACTTTTTAGAGATGTTTTTTAAGAAGATGATCGCATCTAAGATTTGCTAATTAGTTGTGAAGAGGAAGTAAGGGTCTGTGGCGACTTGTACATTTTGAACACGGCACTTTATTTTCTTCCTTTTTTTGACACACATAAAAATTCTTGCTTTGATTACTAATTTACCATATTATACGAAATGGTTCTTATAGAACTAATTAACAACACTCATTCATAATTCAAAATTTTAAAACAAAGATGTACTGTCAGTTCTAATTGGTGTGAAAATTCGTGCCTTGGTGCAACCGCCTGTGACCTGGCTTCGTTGGGAGGATATTGCACCCAGTCATTAAGAAATCAATTGTTATATTTTATGAAAATTTTAGCCAGGAAGTCCAGTGTTTGGATCCAAGAAAAAAGAAATCATTCTGCAAGGACTTGCAGTCACATCATCTGATCCTTGCTCATCACAGCTTCAATCTATTGCAGTCATAAAACCGCAAGTTAACTGGATCAACTCGGTCATTATTGGTATTTATTTAGAAAAAATATAATTTCAATGCCATTCTCCTGTTCTATATTTTGTAAAATTTTCTCAAAACAATTTCTCAAATACTGCTGAACCCATCTGGCAACTTAGAAAAAAAAAGAAGAAGAAACAAAAACAACAACAACAAAAATCCCTACTGTATTTATCCACTGTAAGTAAAAGTGTTACAAATTTTCTCTTCTGAAAAATTACACTGCTCCTCTACGTTTTCAACATTGATACATACATATTTTACAACTTGTATATGTAATGCATATACTTGTTAGACGTTGTATTTAAATATTATCAGATTGCGGTCCAATTAAAACTTTTCGGAATGGCAAGGTGAAGCTGAACAAAAAATCTGCGACAACAATAGGATCCACAGCGATTATTAGATGTGATCCTGGGTATGAGGCAACTCAAAAGAAAATCGTTTGCATAGGAAACGGGAAATGGGAAAAAACAAGTTGCGAATTAAAAGGTAAGGGCTAGCTATTCATATTAAATAACGTGCATTTTCACTATGTGACAGATAAGGAAATGGCAGTGTTATGAGGTTTAGGATCAACAGCCTGGTTGTTGTGAAATTATATACAGTTTACAGGAACAATAAGCTGACAACTGTATTTTGCTTACGGGACTTCGGTGGTTCTATTCAGATGCCTGTTTGTTCATGAAGTAATGCGGAGGTCTTCCTCCACCAGTAAAGCTGGTCATCTGGCCTATACTGTGTTGGTGCGTTGACGTTAAACCTATTTATACTTAGCTATATTACTAACAAGACATCTGTATTATAACTTATAATATACAGATTTAAGTTGTGTATCATTCGCATACAGATGTTTATATCAACTCACAAGTAGACTTTTTTCTTCTTATTAATTATATTTATAGTGTTTCTAAATCGCTGTCACTGTATAGATATGAAGAAGAGATTGTTTTTGATTTGTTTAAACAAAAGGATTTATATTATTTAGTTCATGTTACAAATAGTTTCTTTTCAAACGGACATAATTATCATATTTTTTTATAAATGCCTTTTACAATTAATTAATTAATTAATTAATTGAAAGTCATACTTATCAATATTTGTTTTATATCTGCTTGCTCTTTATTTTTTCAAATGTGTACAAATTGGCACTTTATGACACTTAATTTAACATAGAATGAGATAAAGATGCTTCTTTTTTTAATCTGACAATTTCAGATTGCGGAGCCGTTGACAAAATCCAAAATGGGAAATTAACCTTAGACGATGCATCATCATCGACAATTGGGGCAACAGCGACAGTTGAATGTGATCCTGGCTATAAGGCAAGCCGCGAAAAAATAAAGTGCCTAAAAACTGGGAAATGGGGAAAATCAAGTTGCAAAATAAAAGGTACTATTTAAATTATAACATACATAGTTATCATACAATGATATTATAAGAATTGAACTATAAATACAATACAGAACAATAGAACTTTGTGTTTATTTACATAAAAGATTATAAATGCAAAAAAGAGAGGTATCATTGTATTCCCCAAACCACTTGAAAAGCATAAAGAATAGATATTCATTTATAAGTAACAATACTGGAATTGCTTAGCTTCTGCTGGTTAGATCATGTTGCAAGCCAGGCGCAAGTTCTCTGTGATGATTGATTTGATAACAAAAATGTTGTTCACTTGGTATTCCAAGGAAGCTGGCTACAATGATTGACCAACTTGTTATGACTTAAAATGTATTAAATAGGTCAATAAAAAACAACAACAATAAACAACAACAAAAACATACAATAAAAGAAAATCAAGAATTAAAATGGTTCAGCAAAAGTTCTGCCATTCAAAGAATTATCTTCATTACGTTTTTAAATTATAAAACCCCAAGGACTTTATGACTTAATGATTAATTTTCATATTCAAGTGATTCTACATACAAATAAAATTAATGTTATTAGTGGAAAAAGTTGGCACTCAATTCAGGAAAAGTATTAAAGTATATATATCTTGACCCATGTGTATCGAATCTAGGAGCTTCGGTATCATTTGCCATTATTGCCATTTAAACTAATATCATATTAAAAGTGATCCAATTGTTAAGTTGTCTTTCATAGACTGTTTCTCCTTCAACAAACACTTATATATCGAAAGGGTTTGTATATTCGATTCATTGTCGAAACATTTGTAAAGCATGCTTTCTATATATAATTTAAAAGATATCAAGATATTGATTTGCATCATCGTCTAGTGAGATTCATGAAATATTGACACCGCGATAACAATAACCTTATTTTTCTTATTGTGCCCATCCTTTTCAATTTAATATAACTGTAAATAATTTATTTTAAAATGGCATCCTTCAATACAGGTATCACAAGTTTTTATCTGAACTTTCAAATTAGATTTCACAAAAGACTATAATTTGAATTAGACATTTGAATAAGACAACTCGGAAAGAACGTTATTCAAGTATCAAATGATAACAATACGTTCTTGTACTTCTAATGAATTTTCTTCGGGGAATATGGAAGTCATCGTTCGGTTTGCTAAAATGCTTTATTGAAAATGATTCTAATTGCTTTTAAAACATCGTCAGATTGCGGGCCTGTTAAGAACGTTCGTAAAGGAATAGTAATCCTTGACAATAAATCGACATCGACGGTTGGAGCAACAGCAACTTTGAAATGTTTTCCAGGGTATAAACCCAACCAAGAGAAAATAGTTTGCATGAACACAGGGAAATGGGAAGAAACAAGGTGCAAAATCAAAGGTAGTTTTCAACGCATGTTTTTTGTTTCTCCATGATTTATCCAGAAATGCTATAAACACATCATCTGTTCAACATTAACTGTTAACTTATCTTTATTTCTCAGACTTCAGGACTCGTTAATACCCTGAATTATGTTACTTGACAAAATAATCCGCATTTAAATCCATTTTGTTACCAATAAGTGATTTTTAAATATCAATATTACATATGATATTTTGTAAAATGTTTAAAGGTGTAAGTGAATTATTATTATTATTATCATTATTATTATTATTATTATTATAATTATTATTATTATTGATTATGGTGACATATTTCTGCCAAACTTAGCCATTAAATTATCGCGTTAACTACCTTATTTAATTGTTAGTTTACGGTTCACACAAGAAATAACAATGCAGAGTTTGTTAAAATGTTGCTGGTAAGATCTTGTGGCGAGCCAGCGCAAGTTCTCTGATTTTTCTTTATTACTTGCGGAGAAGTTATTAATAACTGATAGATAAGTATTCAAAGGAAGCTGGTCACCATGATTGACCGACAAGTTATAAACAAAAGAATGTCTTAAAATCGGCAAAAGGAAAATACTTGAGACAAGAATGTTTAACAACAAGGAGCCCAGATTGACCGTAATCAAAAACGGGACAGGGCACAAGGCAGAGCACGGACAAGCTAATCACTAAAATAATCAATAATTTGTAACTGCTAAGGAATTCAAAGAAAAAACAACAAATGATTGAACAATTTGCAAACCACAAACCAAAGATCTTATGTTTTAATGATTGTGTTTCCTACTCAAATGAGGCTACATACAAATTAAAAAAATGTTTTCATTGGTAAAAGTTGGCACTAAGTTCAAGGATATCTATCTCGACCCCTGAAGTATCGAATCTAAGAGGCTTAAAACGGTGCCATGTGACCTATACTCTGTTGGTGCAGTGACGTAAAGCCGAACAACTGTTTAGACAGGGCCATAATAATATGTACCAGTAAGGCATGTGTACTATAGATAAAAATATACAGAAATATGTTATGTACCATTTGCAAACAAACGTGTATAACATTTATGTATTTTCTTTCTTCTTATTTTTTATATTAATTGTATCTCTAAATCGTTGTTACTGTATAAATATGTAAACGAGCATATTATTTTTTATTTCATATTTAACACAAGTGTTTCTATTTTTTAGTTTATCATGTTTATAAAGTTACATGTAGTTTCTTTTTAATAGCACATACTTATTATATTTATTTATATATGCCTTTCACAATTTATTAATTAATTAATTAATTGAAAGTCATACTGATCAATTTGTTTTATATCTGCTTGCTTTTTAATTTTTCAAATGTGTACAAATTGGCACTTTATGACACTTAATTTAACATAGAATGAGATAAAGATGCTTCTATTTTTTAATCTGACAATTTCAGATTGCGGAGCCGTTGAAAATATCCAAAATGGGAAATTAACCTTAGACGATGCATCATCATCGACAATGGGGGCAACAGCGACAGTTGAATGTGATCCTGGCTATAAGGCAAGCCGCGAAAAAATAAAGTGCCTAAAAACTGGGAAATGGGGAAAATCAAGTTGCAAAATAAAAGGTACTATTTAAATTATAACATACATAATTAAAATGATATTATAAGAATTAAACTATAAATACAATACAGAACAATATACCTTTGTGTATATTTACATAAAAACATAAATATTAGATTATTCCTCCAACCACTTGAAATGCATAAAGAATAGATATTTATTTATAAGTAACAATGCTTGAATTGCTAAGCTACTGCTTGTTAGATCATGTTGCAAGCCAGGCGCAAGTTCTCTTTGATGGTTGATTTGATAACAGAAATGTTGTTCACTTGGTAATCCAAGGAAGCTGGCTACAATGATTGACCAACTTGTTATGACCTAAAATGTATTAGATAGGTCAATAAAAAATTTAAAAAACAACAACAAAAAACAACAACAAAATACAAAACAAATAAACATACAAATAAAGAAAATCAAGAATTGAAATGGCTCAGCAAAAGTTCCGCCATTCAAAGAATTATCTTCATCACGTATTTAAATTTAAAAACAAACAAGGAGTTTTTGAATTAATGATTGATTTTCCTATTCAAGTGATTCTACAAACAAATTAAATTAATGTTATCAGTGGGAAAAGTTGGCACTCATTTCAGGAAAGGTATTTAAGTATATAAGGAGCTTCGGGATCATTTGCCATTATTGCCATTTAAACTAATATTATATTAAAAGTGATCCAATTGGTAAGTTGTCTTTCATAGACTGTTTTTCCTTTAACAAACACTTATATATCGAAAGGGTTTTTTATATTCGTTATATTGTCGCAGGCTTTCTATATGATAATTCTAAAGACAGCAAGATATTAATTCGCATGTAAATAATTTATTTTAAAATGGCATCCTTGCCATTCAATACAGATATCACAAGTTTTTATTTGAACTTTCCACAAAGAAGTTTACCATTAGATTTCACATAGGACTATCATTTGAATTAGACATTTAAATAAGACAACTCGGAAACAACATTATTCAAGTATCAAATGATAACAGTACGTTCTTGTACTTTATAATATTACCATAAATAAATGAACTTTCATGCAGGAATATTGAGGTCATCGTTTGGTTAGCCAGAGTGTCTAATTAAAAATGATTCTATTTGTTTTTTTCAAAAATCGTCAGTGTAAAATCAAAGGTAGTTTTCAACGCATATTTTTTGTTTCTCAATTTTATCAAGAAATGCTATAAACACACCATCTGTTTAACATTAACTGTTAACTTGTTTTTATTTCTCAGACTTTTGGACTCGTAAGTGCCATGAATTCAGTAACTTGACAAAATAATCCACATTTTTATCCATTTTGTTACCAATAAGTATTTTTTAAATATCAAGAATGCATATGATATTTTGTAAAATGTTTAAAGGTGTTACTGAATTAGTATTATCATTATTAATATCAATATTATTATTATAATTATTTTTATAATAATAATAATAATAATAATAATAATAATAATAATAAAATGATAATAAAAAAAAATAATAATTATTATTATTATTATTATTTATGGTGACATATTTCTGCTAAAATTAACCATAAAATTATCGCGTTAACTGTCTTATCTAATAGTTAGTTTGCGGTTCGCACAAGAAATAACAAATATTGATCAGAATAACAAGATATTTCTTTTCTGTTTGATAGATATTTAAATTTCAAAAGTATATTGAAATGTGTACATTATTCGTCCGTTTTTAACTTGAAATTATATACATTTTGACAAGTATATATGAAACACAAATAAAGTCTATCAAGCTATGTTTGATGATGTTTTGTTTGAAACTGAATTTATTGAACGAGTTAAATAAAATGATATTATAATATTGTTTTTATTCAACGAGTTTAATAAATTTAGTAATGAACTCAAACGAATTTAATATTCTATTTATCACATACCAAAAATAAAGACCGTTTGAAGTGATTAAGAAACATTTTTCATTGACTCGCCTATAGTATTACGCTCACATTAAACGCGTCTTGAAGCTATGTTTTTATAAAAAAATTTACGGAGTCGCAAAATCAGCACGGGAATGTGATAAGAACCATTTTCCCGCCTATGTTTTACGTCATGATATCAATTTTAAATGTAATTAATTTAACCATTATGCAGACTGTGGGTCTCAATTAAATGTCACCAATGGTAAAGTGCACTATAACGCAACAACGTTTGGATCATTCGCTTCTCTGTTCTGCGATAGAGGATATGATGGAAACGGGACAATAAGCTGCCTTGAAACTGGCAGTTGGGAAACACCACCAAGATGTTCTATAAAAGGTCCATTTGAATTTTTATCAATTTCAAACTTTGTTTAATAGTAAAAACTTTTGTCAATAAATTTGTTATATATACATTTAACTACAATGTAAGCCCGGACGTAAATGATTTATAAATGTATTTTATTACTGTATGGGTAATTCGAAAAAAAAAGATCTGTCCCATTATAACCTTATTGGTATTGTGCACATTATCTTATTTTTGTATATCTCCTTTATATATTTTACATCCAAAATTTGTCTTATGTATTTTTTTTGAAATATGATATATATCTATTTAAAAAAGTACCGCTAGGACAACGTTAAAAAAATTAAAATCTGGAACAGGAATATACAATTTCATTGTTGGATAACGCTACTTATAAAAAAGATGATTCTGTTACATGACGTTAAAGATTAAATGTCCCATGGACACTATACAAAATATATGTTTCCTTCCATTTTCTTACACAAATGTTTTATATTAATCAATGGACCTCTGAGTGTCTCACTCAAAATTCAAAAGACTGTTCTTGTAATTCTTTAGTTGACCAGAGCAAATTTCACGCACATTAATTTGTAGCTAAACAAAGAACAAAAATCTTTATGTGATTTGTTAAGATTTTTTACCGTTGGTTATCCTGTATGATATTTTACGCGTTTTTACCACTGGTCGTCCTGTGTCAGTACGTGCGAGCTTACAATTTTGTTTTTATGTGGCCATGGGTACAATAGGAAACAGTAGATTGTCTTTGTTAGTAAGTTTGAGGCTTTTTGTGTACGAAAATAGGATAAAATGATCTGGAAACAAAACATTTAGTAGCTATTCTTTTTTCACTGTACAATTTCACAAATGCTCAACTCACTGTGAGAAAACTTTCATTCTAGGTAATCCTTACAATGAAGTTGAATTACCTCTTGTCCGCTTATGTTTAACGTCATGATATCAATTTCAAATGAAACACCACCAAGATGTTCTATTAAAGGTCAATTATAATTTTCATCAATCTCAAACTTTGTTTAATATAAAGACCTTTTGTCAATTAATTAGTTGTATATATTTTTACTACAATGAATTGCTGCACGTTAATGTGTCATATGTATGACAGTATAGAACATCAAAACACGATCTATCAAGGATTACACCGTTATACTTAATAGGTATTTTACACAATATGTGTTTTATATCATCATCTTTATATTGTGTCATTCTATGATGTTCATACTTTAATAAGAAATTTGGCAAAGCCTTTGAGCGGGAAAGTCGGTTAAACAATCGTTCATATTTTACTTAACATTTTCCGTTTTAAGGGTGTCATTCGGTATTTCATGCACCACTTCTGTTTTCACCTGGACTATTATTTTTAAGCCGAAAAGCTGAGGAATTAGTTAATTCTAGGTATTCTATTTAATCGTTACAGAAAATATATAGAGGCTATTATTAGAGTGTAAGTTTATACTGAATTTATTGAACGAGTTAAATAAAATGATATTTTAATAAGCTGCCTTGACACTGGTAGTTGAGAAACACCACCGAGATGTTCTATTAAAGGTCAATTTGAAATTTTATCAATTTCAAACTTTGTTTAATAGTAAAAACTTTTGTCAATACATTTGTTATATATACATTTAACTACAATGTAAGCTCGGACGTTAATGATTTATAAATGTATTTTATAATAATTACTGTATGGGTAATTCGAAAAAAGTTCTGTCCCATTATAACCTTTAAGGTATTGTGCACATTATCTTGTTTTTGTATATCACCTTTATATATTTTCATCCGAAATTTGTCTTATGTTATTTTTTCTTAAATATGATATATATCTATTTAAAAATGTACTGCTAGGACAACGTTAAAAATTAAAATCTGGAACAGGAATATACAACTTCATGGTTGGATAACGTGACTGATAAAAAATGATTCTGTTTCATGACGTTAAAGATTCAATGTCCAAGGGACACTATACAAAACAAAATATATGTTTCCTTTCAATTTCTTACACAAATGTTTAATATTAATCAATGGACCCCTGAGTGTCTCACTCAAAATTCAAAAGACTATTCTTGAATTTTTTAGTTGACCAGAGCAAATGTAGCTAAACAAAGAACAAAAATCTTTATGTGATTTATTATGTTTTTTACCGTTGGTTATCCTGTATGATCTATTACGAGTTTTTACCACTGGTCGTCCTGTGTCAGTACGTGCGAGCTTACAATTTTGTTTTTATGTGGCCATGGGTACAATAGGAAACAGTAGATTGTCTTTGTTAAAAAGTTTGATGCTTTTTGTGTACGAAAATAGGATAAAATGATCCGGAAACAAAATATTTAGCAGCTATTCTTTTTTCACTGTACGATTTCACAAATGCCCAACTCACTGTGAGAATACTTTCATTCTAGGTATTCTAGGTAATCCTTACAATGAAGTTGAATTACCTCTTTTCCGCTTATGTTTAACGTCATGATATCAATTTCAAATGTAACTAATTAATTTAACCATTATTCAGACTGTGGGTCTCCATTAAATGTCACCAATGGTAAAGTGCACTATAACGCAACAACGTTTGGATCAATCGCTTCTCTGGTCTGTGATAGAGGATATGATGGAAACGGAGCAATAAGCTGCCTTGACACTGGCAGTTGGGAAACACCACCAAGATGTTCTATTAAAGGTCAATTTTAATTTTTATCAATTTCAAACTTTGTTTAATAGTAGGATTTTTTGTCAAAACATTGGTTATATATACATTTAACTACAATGTAAGCGCGAACGTTCATGATTTATAAATGTAATTCATTTGTTACTGTATAGGTAATTCGAAAAAAGATCTGTCCCCGTATTACCTTATAGGTATTGTACACATTATCTTATTTTCTATATCCCCTTTATCTATTTTTCATTCAATATTTGTTATTTTTTAGATATGATATATATCTATTTAAAAGATGTACCGCTAGGACAACGTTAAAAAATTAAATTCTCGAACAGGAACATAAAACTTCATGATTCGATAACTTTACTGATAAAACAATTTATTCTGTTTCATGACGTTTAATGTTAAATGTCCCAGGGACCTTATACACAATATATGTTTCCTCCTTATCTCTTCCCAAAATGTAATTTATTAATCAATCGACCCCTGAGTGTCTCACTCAAATATCAAAAGACTGTTCTTGTATTTTATTAGCTGATCAGAGCAAATTTCATTCACATTTGTAGCTAAACAAAGAACAAAAATCTTTATGTGATTTATTATGATTACCGTTGGCCATCCTGTGTGATTTACTATGATTTTTTACCATTGGTCATCCTGTGTCAGAAGTGCGCGCTTACAATTTTGTTTTATGTGGCCATGGGTACAATAGGAAACAGTAAATTGTTCTTTGTTTCCAGATTGTTAAAAAGTTTCAAGCTATTCGTGTTTTTTGAAATTCTACAAGCTTTTCTGTATATATTTTGACGTGTTTATATGAAATATAAGTTAAAGTGTTTTTAGCTATGTCTGATGATGTTTACTTTTGAATCAAAATAACGGTAAAATTATGCCGTTTTTTTTAAATAGTGTACGAAAATATGATAAAATGATCCGGATACAAAATATATAGCAGCTATTCTTTTTTTTCACTGTACGATTTCACAAATGCTCAACTCACTGTGAGGAATACTTTCATTCTATGTATTCTAGGAAATCCTTACAATGAAGTTGAATAACGTCTCTTTCGCTTTTGTTTAGCGTCTTGATATCAATTTTAAATGTAACTAATTAATTTAACCATTTGTAGACTGTGGGTCTCAATTAAATGTGACTAATGGTAAGTTGCACTATAACGCAACAACGTATGGATCAATCGCTTCTCTGGTCTGTGATAGAGGATATGATGGAAACGGGACAATAAGCTGCCTTGACACTGGTAGTTGGGAAACACCACCAAGATGTTCTATTAAAGGTCAATTTTAATTTTTATCAATTTCAATCTTTGTTTAATAGTAAAAACTTTTGTCAATGCATTGCTTACATTTATATTTAACTACAATATAAGCCAGGAAGTAAATGATTTATAAATTTATTTTATTTGTTACTGTATACTTTAGGTAATTCAAAAAAAAATCTGTCCCCGTATTACCTTATAGGTATTGTACACACTATTTTACTTTGTATATCACCTTTATATATTTTTCATTCAATATTTGTCTTATGTTATTTTGTTTTTAAATATTATATATATCTATTTAAAAGATGTACCGCTAGAACAACGTTAAAAAAATTAAATTCTCGAACAGGAACATACAACTTCATGATTCGATAACTTACTGATAAACAATTTATTCTGTTTCATGACGTTTAATGTTAAATGTCCCAGGGACCTTATACATAATATATGTTTCCTCCTTATCCCTTCCCAAAATGTAATTTATTAATCAATCGACCCCTGAGTGTCTCACTCAAATATCAAAAGACTGTTCTTGTATCTTATTAGCTGATCAGAGCAAATTTCACTCACATTTGTAGCTAAACAAAGAACAAAAATCTTTATGTGATTTATTATGATTACCGTTGACCATCCTGTGTGATTTACTATGATTTTTTACCATTGGTCGTCCTGTGTCAGAAGTGCGCGCTTACAATTTTGTTTTATGTGGCCATGGGTACAATAGGAAACAGTAAATTGTTCTTTGTTTCCAGATTGTACACACTATTTTACTTTGTATATCACCTTTATATATTTTTCATTCAATATTTGTCTTATGTTATTTTGTTTTTAAATATTATATATATCTATTTAAAAGATGTACCGCTAGAACAACGGTAAAGGAACAGTAAAATTATGCCGTTTTTATTTAAATAGTGTACGGAAATAGGATAAAATGTTCCGGAAACAAAATATATAGCAGCTATTCTTTTTTCACTGTACGATTGTTTAAAAATGCCCCACTCACTTTCTTTCTAGGTATTCAAGGTAATCGTTACAATGGAGTTGAATATAAACCTTTTGTCTGCTTATGTTTATCGTCGTTATATAAATTTTAAATATAACTAATTAATTTAACCATTATTCAGACTGTGGGTCTCCATTAAATGTGACCAATGGTAAGTTGCACTATAACGCAACAACGTTTGGATCAACCGCTTCTCTTGTTTGTGATAGTGGATATGATGGAAACGGGACAATAAGCTGCCTTGACACTGGCAGTTGGGAAACACCACCGATATGTTCCTAAAGGTCAATTTAAATGTGTATCAATTTCAATCCTTTTTATTATTCGGAACTTTTGTCAATAAATTTGTAATGTGTATTTTACTGCAATGTAATCCCAGACGTTAATGATTTATAAATGAGTTATATGTATTACTGTATAGGATATTTGAAAAAGATCAAGCTAACACTGTATTACCTTATAGGTTGTTTTACACAATATGTCATTAGTTTTTATTTACACCTTTATATCGTGTCATTCGTTAATTTTTCTTACGTTTAACTTAATATAAAATTTTTGCAAAGCCTTTAAGCGGGAAAGTTGGTTACAAAAATCGTTCATTTTTACTTTAAATGTGTCATTCGGTATTTAATGCACTACTTCTGTTTTCACTCTGAACACCTCGTCGATTATTTTTAAGCCGAAAAGTTGCGATTGTTCCGTTATCGGAATACTTTGTATATTATTATAGTGTTTCATTAATATATGTCGGCGCCAAACTAGATATGACACTGAACATTTCACTGATAAATAAAGTTTCCTTTTAAAAGGAAACGCTTGCACAGTTGTGCCTTCATCCAAACCCTTTAAAATTGTTTTTTTTTTTTTTTTTGGTTTCAATTTATGATCACATTTTTTTTTGAATTACGGTATTTGTATATCATAAAGGGTTTTTTTTTTTTGAAAACCGAATATTTTTTGTCAAAACGATTTGAAATCTATTCTCTATTGTATAAAACTAATAAAGAATATGATCAATCGTAAAACTACTAACGTGATACTGAAGGAAAACAAGTGTGCACATTTCATTTCCCCTTTTTCGCAGCGAAATCATTCTTTTGCTTTATAGACAGGTAATTGCACTAAGATACTTCGTTACGTGGTACCAATTAACAAGCATGTATCAACTATGTTACACGATCACAAATAGACGATGCGCTAGGTGGCAAGGTTAATGATATGCATGGGCTATTTTTAGATTACCTCACCAAGAAGTTGGATCTAAATATAACTCGATCTTTGAAGACGGAATACTACTACAGACTGCAGTCACCATTCTCTATTGTATAAACTAATACAGACAAAAAACAATTATAAAAAAAAATAACTTTTGCGTCTTGAAAAACAATTGAAACGGAACAATTTCGTTTATAATTTATTACGGTTTAAACCGATAAATCAAGTAAAAATAGAAATCCTATTTATATAAACAAACTGGGATTACCGAAGTAACTAAAATAGCTTAGATTTCCGTAATATTACTTCGTCTGATTCCGCAGTATGACGGAATCGCCCGAATTGTCACGATTGCAATCGGAACTACATCGGCTATTATCATTAATCCGAAGAGTGACGGAAAAGGCCGAAAAGTTGTGATTGGCACGATTACAGCTGGTTTCCCGTTCAATCATGCACCAACAGATGTAAGCAGGAAACCACCTAACCGGAACAAGTTTTCCATATGAAATGGCTTGCAGCCGTGGCTGCAAGCCAAAAAATCTATATATTTTTGATTTGTTTTTTGTTTTCATTTGATTTTTTTTTAATATTAACGTGAAGTCTATAGCCCCGAAGTTAAGGCTAGGCCCCGCTTCGCGGACCTAGCCTTTGCCTTCCCAGTATTATTGAAGTTTTATATTTAGCTATTCAGAAATGTACCTCTTGGACAACGCTAAAGAATAAAAATTTGGACAGAAAAATACAACTTCATGATAGGATACGCTACAGATAAAACATAATGTTTTCTATCCATGACGTTAACAGTTGAAGCTCACAGTGATCTTTAACAAGATAATTGTTTCCCAAAAACTACTTACTGATATGAAACATATTAATTAATTGAAAGTTCTCTCAATAACAAAAGAATTGTTTATTACGCAATTTTCAAATGTTTTATCAATTT